GGGCCCCCCGGCAGCATGGGTCAGAGCTTCCCCTCCGCCCACGAGAATGGGCACCCCAATGGCAGCCAGGGTCAAGGCTGACTCCCCCGCCCAGGGAAAAGGGCGTTTAACCAACCCGGACAATGAAAACAGTGAAAAAAAAGTGAAAACAAGTGAAATCAGAGAAAACAGTGTATACAACACAGAAACAAACAGTGACGACAATAAAGCCATTTATCATGCAGACAACACTACCATAGTGCTCAACACGATTCTTTGCTTTATAACGATCAAAAAATCATTGGCACATTTAGTGTTGTGTGACCAAATTAAGAAACTGTATAGCCCAGATGAGATAGAAAATGCCTACATCATTCTATTTATATCAGACTCCAGGAAAACTAAATACATCAATAAAGACATCAAAAGGATGATAAATTTCACAGTATACACAATGATCAATCAGTGCTTAAAGAACGACAATTTAGTGTTTGCCACAACAACCACAGACATTCCCGCCACTGACTGGTCTCCGCCACCAAAGAAAACAAGTATCTCACCTTTTGTAAAAATCTTTCAAAAACAAAAACACCAAGGCATACAAACACAGCATGAACTCTCTTTCAGCAATCAAGATCTAATTGAAAATAAAATTGATTTGCTGATCAGAATGTTCTCCAAGCAACAATCTGCTATAAACAGCTTGATTAGTCAAGGAGTGACGTCTCCTCAGCTGCAGGAATGCGCAGAGGAAGCATCCGTCACAACATCCTCGCCCCCATCCCCTCATGCAACATCCAATCTCCCATCCCCTACCCACGATCAATCTGCCTATCAATCTTTCCCTTTCGCATCCCCTCCCCCTGCCAGAATGTCCTTAACCTCAATACCAAATGAACACACGCACAACCATACACCCCCTACAACTCCCATGGCAGTACCCACGCCCAACAACCCTCCTTCCTCTTCCCCTCCCCCCACCCCCTCCCTCCGTCTCAACCCACTCCGACCCTGCAAACCCGTGACCCTGCTGATGCGCCAGCCCCCCCTTGTCCGGTGCCACGCAAGCGATCACCCAACAACGCTAAGACGTCAACAACCGGCATGAGGAATGAAGCTTCTACACAAGTAACACCCAGAAGAAGCTACGGTAGAAACAGTAGAAGGAAAAACAAGCAAAGACATCTTCCACCAAATCGCCACTGGGAGGATGCCACGCACCACCACGTGCCTGGAGTACCTGCCCCCTCTACTACTCCACGAGCACCACAACTCGTCGTCAACAACTACAAAGAACGATTGGAAACACAACAACAAACAAACGTGCAGCCGCAGCCCCACCAAAACAAGGAAGGGTTCGTTCAAGTCAACAATAGAAAACAAAGAAGAAAAGCAAGAGAGGAACGGCACTCATCAAAACCCCTGCAAGGTGCCGACCGTCCTCAGGTAGTGTACTTGTATATTACGAATTGCCATACGGACACAAACGAGGAAGATATTGAGGACTTCCTTGAAAATAAATTCGACATTATTTCCAATGTGAAAGCATTCAAAACGAAAATGACACACAATTATTACTCAAGCTTCACAGTTACTATAAGAGGCAAGGATATTAACCCAGATCTTTTCTTAGAGTCCGACGTCTTTCCTGATAATGTAAAGGTGTTCCTAAATAGAAACAAGTACAAAGACGAGCAGGATGTTTGACGCTGTAAGTCCGGCGGTCAAAACACTAAGCACAATCAGATTTGAGCACATCAATGCACAGAGTCTCCTCGGATACTTTGAAGAAATTGAATTATTAATTAAGGAGAGAAATATCAATATCCTGTGCATTGGTGAAACTTGGCTTCACCAAGAAATATCAAGCAGTTTCATCAGCATTCCAAACTTTCATATTTACAGATGTGATGCAGGATGTGGAGGTGGAGTCTGCATATATGTAAGAGATACCCTTAAATCAAATAAGATCTCCTCTACAGCTGTAAATGATACAGCAGTAGAGGACATCTGGGTAACCGTACAAAGTAATATGCATCCTTCCATCCTCGTCGGCACAATCTATAGACACCCACATGCTACAGGAGAATCTTTTGAGTATCTTGAAAATATTTTCAGAGAAATGTCATTAAAAAGTAAAACCCTATTCATCCTAGGTGACTTAAATGATGATCTAAACAAATCAAATGCAAAGCTAACTGGGATAATTAATAAAAATGAATTAAAACAACTTGTAAACAAGCCTACAAGGATTACAGTAACTACCTCTTCTATATAAGTTGTCATAATAACAAACAGTCCCGATATTATTCTTCACACAGATGTTATCCAATGCCCAATTGCAGATCACGAGATTTTAACCTTGATCTTAAATATAGAAAAACCAAAGCGACAACCAGTCACCAAAACTTCTTGTGATCTAACCCATTACGATCCTAAATTACTCTGCGAACATATAGCTAACGAATCATCGCTATTAGATATCTTATCAACAGATAATGTTGACAGACAAATTGCCACTTTAACAGAAGTGATAAAGAATAGCATAAACGCCTCCGCACCCATTAAAACTAAAACAGTAAAACGTCCTACCGCCCCCTGGATAGATGACAACATCAAGAGAGCCATAAATGATAGAAATAATACTCAGAAAGCTCTAAAGATAAACAGATCTGACACCACCCTTCAGGCTAAATATAAACACAAGAAAAGGAATGTGAAAACACTTATTCATAATGCAAAAACAAATAATTTCAAAAGTAAGATCAATGAATGCAGAAACGATTCTGCTGAAACATGGAAACTGGTGAAGACATTAGTGCTAAATAAGAAACAAAACACAGACATTTCCACAAATTCCATAATTGATATAGAACACTTTAATAACTTCTTTGCAGAAGTCAGTAGGCTCACTTACAAACAGACAACCGCCTCCACACATCTACGCAACATAAATGAAACAAGGCCTAAAACAAACTTTTTCAGACCGCAACCAGTAGAAGTAGAAACAATTATATTAACAGTAAAACAGTTAAGAAAAACAAAGTCCGTAGGAGCTGATGGCATTGCACAGCGTTTCATAAATGATAGTCTACCAGCAATTGCAAACTATCTGACAGTGATCATTAATACATCCATAGTCACTTTGGAAACACGGTATCATAACACCTATTTACAAATCCGGTGATACAGACGAAATAAATAATTATTGACCCATCACAATACTGCCGGTAATATCTAAAGTATCTAAAGAAAATAGTCGCAAACCAATTAACAGCATTTTTGGAAGAGAATAACCTTATATCAAACACGCAACACGGGTTTAGAAGTTAATTATCAACCGAAACGGCGTTACTAAAAATCACAAACGAAATATATAACAACATAGACAACAACCAGATAAATCTGCACACTTTGTGTGACTTACCTAAGGCCTTTGACAGCGTCAGCCATGAAATACTTCTCAACAAACTTACAAATCACGGAATTGATAACTTTTGGTTTAAAGATTACTTGTCCGCGAGAACTCAATCAGTCAAAATTCATGAAAAAATATCATCAAAGAAACAAGTTTCGTTCGGTATTCCACAAGGCTCCATCCTAGGCCCAATCTTATTCACTATTTTCATCAATGATCTGTCATCAATTGCAAAAAACTGTCTTCTTATTCAGTACGCTGATGACTCTCAATTTCTCCATGCTGCCTCTGTTAACAATTTAAATGAGTTAATAGGAAAAGCTAAACAAACCCTAACAGAAGCAAAACAATACTTTGAAATAAATGGTCTGAAGCTAAATCCACAGAAAACACAATGTATTTTCATAGGCAGCCGTCAGAACATTGCAAAAATATCCACAGATACAATGATAGAATTCCAGGGCTGCTACATCAAACCCAACACAACAGTAAAAAATCTAGGAGTTTACATAGACAGATACATGACATTTGAGACACACATTGACCACATCTACAGGAAAGTAATGGGCACTCTGATATACTTATATCACATCAAAAATAAAATACCCACAGAAACAAGAATTATTGTTATACAAACAATAGCACTTAGTATAATCAATTACTGCCTAAACATCTACGGCTCCACAAATAAAACACAAATACAAAGGACACAGAAACTACAGAACTTTGCAGCAAAGAGTAGCACTAGGAAATATAAATAAATATGACCACATCACACCACATATCAACACACTAAAATGGCTAAAAGTGCAACAGAAATACGACTATGACACATACATTCTAATCCATAAAATTATACATGGAATTTACCCAAATTGGCTATTACCTATACAGACAACAGGTAACACAATGGGTGTCCAAACAAGGCAAAACAACTGCCTATATATCAAGAGATCAAATATAGAAACCGGGACAAGAAATATGCTAATCCGAGGACTGGTGACTTGGAACCAATTACCCGAAAATATAAGAAATATTTCCAACCAAAAGACATTTAAAACAAAAGTGAAAGATCATCTACTGAAATATCAATGACATCAGGCGCATAAACATCAAGCCCAGCACAATATTTCAATCACATATGGTATTATTGTTATATGCAATTTTGTTCCACAAGCATTGTATAATATCTATGTTCATAGCACCCTATTGCATTGTGTAAACACCTTATATGTAAAGAGAATACCCATTGTAATTAATGGAATAAAGTATTTGAATTTGAATTTGAATATCCTGTTTTGCTCAATTAACTCATAAACGACAGGCGTCCCACATACGAGACATCCGAAAAAATAAACAATGCCGGGCGTCCCACCAGTGTAATGCTGTATTGGGGCTCACGCTCCGATGCAGCAGCGGGCCGCAGTGGGCGGGCGGGCAGAGTCTGGGACAGCCCCGCCCGCCGATTTTGTAGCTGCCCGGAATCTTTTATACCGGCGTTAATGGGGTAACAGTCAATAGAAAATATCTCTTCAAAAGTTTTTAAACTGTAATTTATTTTATTTATTTGACGTAAAAATTTAAATCATGAAGAATACCCTAGAAAATTCTTATTCAGTATTCACTTACATAATATTTGCCTTGTGTACTGCTGTGACCTTCTTGCGGCTGTGACCTACAGCATACTCAAAGGCATATCGAGCAAGGCGTTCTGATGCAGTTCTTGTGATGATTTTTAGACTCTCAATGACACCTTTCACATTCTAGAAAAAATAAAAAATAATGCACATATATACATTCGCATAAATAAAAAATGGAAAAAATTCAATAATATAAAGAAATCACAGTGAGTGATCTATATGGCAAAATCTTATTATACAAGAAGAAAGGGCTGAAGGGCAGGCTGATAGGTGTGACACGCCATGAGTTCAAAGTTCTTGGAGGGTGATTTGATTCAATGGGCTTTTAGTAAGGGGGTCTAGCATTATTTCCACCAGTAACAAGTGTGGAAAGTATCATCCATGAGCCGTGCCTGAAAGTGTGCTGGCTTCTGGAAGGACATTATTTCCATGCTTAGGATCTCACTGCTCTCTACCATGACCAGTGGAGCAGGGTGTATTACAGAAAAGTGTATATTATAAAAAGAAAAGGACACATATTGATTATTGATATTACACAAGAGTTATAGACTAGACTACCTAGTGACATGATATAGTCTGTGCAAGGAAAACAGTCTATCAACATCTGGATATAGCCTATTAAGGGGACTGTCCCGGAAAATGGCCACCTTTCCCTCTTTACATCATAAAAAAATATCTGTTAGAGATAACTGATTGATTTTTTTTGCATGATATAGAGTACAGAATTGAGCTCCGTTATATATGTAATTTTAACCTTGCTCCCCAAAAAAAGTCGAAAAAAGTTTTTTTTTTGTTTGTCTTCGGTACATCCCAACTATCACATTTCTTTACTGAATATTCCCCCAAAAATACTTGTGTTAGATGAACCCTAGCCTAAGGCCATGTAAATGGCCGATTTTTGAATTTCCTTTTTTTTTTTTTTTTTGGCGGGGGACAGCTTGACATAGAGAACTATTTTTTTCAGCATTAAAATATTATTATTTTTTGATTAAGGCAAAAATTTTAAAATCTGCCATTTACATTGCCTTGGGACGCCCAGGCTCTAGTGAAAGCAACAAACTGCATTTGAATCGCATGAAAATTACATGAGTTGGGATGTACCGAAGATAAAAATAAAATAAAATAAAATAAAATAACAGCGTTTTGTATTTGGCCCCTTGCCAAAGTTTGATTACCAAGTCAAGAGGAATTTTCATTTTCAATAGGGACGCTATTCTGTAAAGGTATGTATTTTTTTTTATTTTTTTTATAGTAGATATTTTTGTGTGAAAAGCTTAATAAATGCATTTTACCATAGAGAGAACTAATCTAAACCAGATAAAAACCTTTTTTTTATTTTTTTTTTCCCCTTTTATTTCTATTATTTTTTCTTATTTTGAAGAAATGGGGAACTGTGGATGGCAACATTAGTACAAAATCATTCTAATTATAAAGTCCTGGCATGAATACAACATGGTGGTTCAATTTTGAGAATTTTAAAAGCATATGAATTTAGTAGGGGGGGGGGGGATGGTCACTGGGTGTTTATAATTTTCGAGGAGGATCATATGTACGTGAACTCATGCACATAAAGTTAAAAAGATTAATCATTGTCATTTAGTAGGCCTACATTGACTTTCCTATCTAAATAATAAAATTTATTAGTTATCCCTCTCATACCATTTTCTTCACTAATTGTCAATATTAACAGATTGCAAAGGAGAACAAGTGTAGAGTTTATGATTAGCCATTTGCACCCATTTTCTTTACTAAGAAGTGCATAAAATTGTGCAGACGCCTAGGTGTTGTGGGATATTTGCCAATTTATGGTGCCTAAGACTTACGGTAATGTCTAAACATATTCATTTTTATCGGGAACGCATGAAACGGTTGCGATAGCTTTTTGAACGCCAGACGAAGACTACACATACAACTGAGCTCAAAATTCCATATAGTTTTTTATTTCAGAACAGGTATTACTGAGTACTATCATCTTCAACACGAAATAATCTGTATCTCGCTTATACATCCGAAGTTAAAAAATCTGACATTTAGGAAACATTCATATTGAATTGGTCTTTACAACGGTAACTACCAATTTCAAATCAATTCAAATTGCCCCATGCTGTGATGTACTGACCATGGAGCGAAATGCAACAGAAATATTTCAATCCTTCCTTATAAGGCTATTTTTAAACATTAGTGCTTCGTATGTGATATACGTACATATTACCTCATAAACTAAAACATATTACCAGGGAGTCTCGATCGAAGCATATTTCGTGTGTAAAAGGACACAAAACTTGCATTTTTTAAAATATATATTTCACAAAATATTTTGTCATAAATCGCGGTGATATAGTTTTTTCCTGATATTGGTATAAAAGTGTTCCTTGAACATTCACAAACTCATATCTATGCGCAATGTCATAATTAAATGCCTTATGCACGATTGCCGCAAGTAAAAGTCCACATAGGTGTACCTGGGCGCTCATTAGCAACGTACCTCTCCAGGTGCTGAGGGACTCGAGCGTCGGCTGCAAGACAATGAGCCATAGCAGGCACTTAATACTCATTTGGTAGTTTCCTCATCCATGTACCTATACTATATGCTAGCTAACTCAATTTAACCCCCTTCCCCCCCTCCATCTGGGACGGTCCCCTTAAAAGACAAACATAAAAAAATGGCCAAAAAAAAAAAAAAAAAAAAAGAGCAAACAATGCTTAGGCAGATAATAATAATAATAATAATCATACTGCAAAAAGGAGGTACAAGTCTTGACACTGCAAACGTGTTCGTGTTGGCTGGGCCAACAAGCCACACACATGAGAGAGATGCCACTCAAATAAGCCTAATGTCCAGACTATGGACCAAAGGGTAAATCATCTTTAAACAGATATCACAAATGAACTTACTTCATGCTCCAACATGGAATATTCCCCCTCAGTATTCTGACGAATAATAACAATATCCACATCCTGGTATACAGATCGTACAGCTGGATACGACTTGCAATGGAGCACATTGGCAAAGAGGTCCAGCTCATTTCGAAGAGCTGCATTGCGAGAAGATCCTGATTCTCCGTACTTGCTTTCAATGCTACCTGTTTCATGAATGTCAGCTTCAATGTCTTATATAAACTTGCATTTGCATATGAAAATATAATAAATTAAACAATTACAGAACAGATCTGATTGAAACGGACCTGGCTTCATGAAATATTAGTCAATGAAAACAAGACTAAAATTCTAGCTTAAATAAAATTATAAAAATGCACATACATCCTCATTTCTTTTGGGTAACATAAGCCTATACTGCTTGTTATCTTCCACAGGCACTCACCCTTAAGAGCAACACCATTCCTCTTTATGCAAGTAAGAGCATTTGCAAATTCTTCCTCAGATGAATTCTTGGTAATTTCAACCTCTTCAAAGTCAACTGGCACACCTGCATACCTATAATATTTCAAATGTTACAGAACATATATAGCCTGCTCATGTTCTAATCATATCTTCAATAGGCATGAGTATATGCATACCTGCTCTCTTTTTGTCAACAACTGTATGAATGAATCCTATATCTCTGTTTCATGAATGTTTAATAAATAACTCCATGCAATCAATCAAGGTAAAACATACCTGAAGATGTTCTCAACATAGCTCATCATTTCTGGCCCAATACCATCACCAGGAAGCATGGTAACAGTGAAGCGACCGCCATATTGGGCAACCGGAAAGGGCTTAGACTGATGTAAAGAAAATGGAAATACATTGCAAATATTGTAAAACTTTTGATATGAAAATGGAATTACTTGAAAAATTCTAAAATCAAAGGTCATTCTTAATAATATGAATTTTATCAATTAAAATTAGTTTAATGAAAATAGCTACAAAGTGAACATTTATACTTACTGCAGTAAAACTCCTTCTCGGCAAAACAACTGGAACCTAGACAAAGATAAATATCAACTTTAAATACAGAAAGGGCATAGTACTTTAGGAATACAGAGATGTCAACAGAAGAATCACAATATCCCAGTGATCTGCTGCAAAACAATACACTAGTTTTACATTTTAAAGTTGTTATTGCTAGTATGCATACATATATATATATATATATATATATATATATATATATATATATATATATATATATATAAATGTATATATATATATATATATATATATATATATATATATTCATAAATAAATATATATATATATATATATATATATATATATATATATACTAAAGAAAAAAAAAAAAAAAAATATATAAATATATATATACATATATATATATATATATATATATATATATATATATATATATATATATATAATATATATATATATAGAGAGAGAGAGAGAGAGAGAGAGAGAGAGAGAGAGAGAGAGAGCAAGAGAGAGAGAGAGAGAGATTGATTTGATTTGATAATATTTATTTACAGAACAGTGTACATGCCCTGTAAAAAGCCAGGGTAAGATGCTACCGCATCTATCCAACTGGCTATGCTTATATTTATGTAAAGGGCTATTAGTCAAACATTAGTTCTACATGCCTGAAGGGCTGTGTCATTATGCATACATTATTCACATATCATCTAGTTGGTAAAAAACCTTTTATATCCCTAATCATATCGAAGACAAGACCAGTGTCTATGATAAAATTAATATAATCAATAAGTGCTGGTCTCTGGACAGTGCTATTTGATCGATAGGATGCAGTTTTTGAGCAACAAAGTAAGTAGAGAGAGAGAGAGCGAGAGATATGTATATACATATATATATATATATATATATATATATTATATATATATATATATATATATATATATATATTTATTCATATATATATTCATATATATGTATATACATACATATGTGTATATATATACATATTACACAGAGAGAGAGAGAGCGAGAGAGAGATATGTATATATATATATATATATATATATATATATATATATATATATATATATATATATATATATATATATTTATTCATATATATATTCATATATATATTCATATATATGTATATACATACATATGTGTATATATATACATATTACACACACGCACGCACGCGCGCGCGAACACACACAAACAAACAAACACACACACACACACACACACACACACACACACACACACACACACACACACACACACACACACACACACACACACACACACTCACACACACACACTCACACACATATATATATTCGTAAGATCCAGAGCATCAAGAATCAACGTTGTTTCCTGATGGACTGCTTGGCTGAGCAAGTGTTGCCATCTTTAGCTCTGAGCCAGTTTAAATCCAGTGAGCATCCATTCCCTGATAGTGCTCAGGCCTTCCTTGTGGAGGCCATGAAGACCCTACAACATTGACTCTATGGACTCCGGAACAAGCTTGAGGGCGAAAACCTTCCCCATGGGCTGGTCCTCCAACTACAGCAGGAAGATCAAGTTCAACAAGTCAAACATCAGGAGAAATTACACTGCATATGCAGCAAGAGCAGATGGTCGAAAGCTGGACGTAGTGATCTTCTTAGAAACATGTCTTTCAAACATCTTACCCAAATGGAAAAAGAAACCCACTCCCTTGGACTCAAATTCAGCATCGGGCAGGACAACAAGGACCTTATTGACTACTTTGTCTCGAACCACCGCTGGACTGTCAATGACGTCAAGAAAGCCTTCATCCATGGGATTACTGCCTGCTGTGTGCCAATGCATTGTCACGCAATCCCTTGCAGATACATCACCGCATTGAAGGGCCTTTCTGAAGCTTCTGTTTACAGGAAAGTGACGAAAGGTGAGGGGAAGATGGAAGCTGCCAGACTTAAGAAGAAGGCAAGGGATATACTCCTCCGGTCGGCTAGAGGGAAAGGTTTACTTCACATACTGGAGGAGTCCCCCCGCAATCCCATCCATAGAGATCTCCCGAAGGTGCACAAGCCAGAGAACGATGAGATGAGACCGATCATTGGCAGCGCTCCCCATCGTTTGGCTAAGTATTTGGCAAAATCCCTCTCCGCCACTATAGGAGTCAGTGATTCCCACCTGAAG